CCTCAGGGGGGAACGTTCGTCACGGTCCTGAGAATAAAATAAGTCTAGTGGAGAGAACACACTGTGCTCAAAAGAGACAGAGGGAGAGTGAACAAAACGGGGGGGGGGGGGAAACACAAGGTTCCCTGAGTGAATAAGTGAACTGGGAATAAGAGGGGAAAACAAACGTGCTGCTTCACTGGGGTGCGCGCATAAGCAAAAACGAGTGTGGGACACAGTGTATTTTTTTTTTAGCCTGTACTGTGACCTGTGGTGCGATTCTGTGAAGCAAACTGGAATTTTTCCCTGTGGAATGGAAACATTTTCTGGAAGAAAAACACTTCGTGTATGTAAAAAGAAATCAGGTTTTAAAGAAAGCAGCGGTGCTGTAGTAGGAGGGTAGGAATAATTCCTGACCGCTAGAATTTTGAAGGAAGTGACAAACCAAAATACAAGTCAACCCCCATCTAATGGACTTGATTCATGCAAGGGACGAGTCTGTTAGACAAAAAGTCCTTCACAGGAATTCAATTACATAAAAAATTAAAAATTTCAATTTTCAACACTAATTTCAAACCAAAAGATGTCTGTTTGGCGGATTTTGTCTGTTGGGCAGGAGGAAAAACTGCTTGCAGAGCTGGTCTGTTTTTGGCAATAATCCCTTACATGGGAGGTCTGTTAGGCGGGGGGCCACTGTATGTGCAATCTGTGATGAAATCATGCTGTGTTCAAGTGACTGAATATTGCTTCATTGCATAGTGTGGAACACAATGTTTTTTTCTGTGATAGGTGTGAATTTGTGAATCCATTTGGAAATTTTAATTGAGCCTTAGCAGCATTTTCTGGAAGAAGAACACTTTTCTGAAAGTCGAAGAGAAGTTGTTCTGTGATCTTTAAAAATTATGTACATGAGTCAGTATTGCTGTAAAACTAATTCCCTTCCAGTGTAACTATGAAGGGCATTTTTGGGAAATCATCTCCAGTTTTGATTAATCCAGATAAAGGAAAAAACAGAAAAACACTAAGGCAGGCATTGACTCTCAAGTCACAAGTGAATGCCTTGTATAATTAGACTGATATTTTTTTGGTGACATTTATTTGCTTGATAGAACCGGGTGTTTGAGCCTTTGTTGATAATGTACATGCGAATCCTGGTACTTGGGCAACAAGCTGGCAATGCTGGTATGCAGCCTTATCTGAGATAAGATTAAGTTTGGTGTGCCCAGGAATAAGTGGAACAATCTGTGGAATAGTTGAAACGAATTGTGTCATATATCAATATTTCAAAGCATGTATCCTACAGATGCTTTGTTCATCTTTCAATCCATTCATTAAGAGCACATTTTTCAAGACCATAAAATTTCCAGTGAGCTGAAGTCTAAGAAAATGAGGGCAGATATCTGTTGAGAACATAAATTTAAAAACCAGTTGAAGATTTTTGAGAGAGTGAATGTATGAAGCTGTGCATCAATCCTTTCTAAATGCATCATCCATAATTGATCAAAATGTATGCCATTTTCAATTTGAGATCATAAATCCTCTTATAAAATTTGTTCATTTTCTGGAATTTTTTGTTGTGATTCTTGATTTTTTTTTACCAGAGAGCAAAGAGAAAAGCTCATCCTGGAAACAACCAATTTATGTTGAGGATATCCTATTCAATTCATAATAAAGTAATGGCTACCAAAGGTATACAGTAATTGCTTAAGACTGTACATGTGTTTCTTCACTGTGCATAACTTCTGGTGTCTTTTATTGCACCATGAATCTAAAAATACTGCGCATGACAAACATACAGAGCCCATGTTTTGAACTTCTGAAAGACAAATCCAATCTGAAACAAAGTAAATTTACTAGAATGGTCAGGAGGCCTGATTTTCTACTGAAAATCCATGAATATCTGGGAAATAAGTATCATCAAAATTTCCTGCTGCATTCATGCTCAAAAATGACATTCCCATGTTCAACAGCAAAACTACTCTTCATAAATATGTATGGAAATTTTGTGAAGACAAACCAATTTGGTCTAGGAAAGCAGGTTCCTTATTAGAGACATGTTTGTAGAGCAAGTCAAGTGAATTTTTTACTTTCAGACAATTATTTGGAAGTTGAAATTTTGTTCAATAAGTTTTCTTACAAATTTTTGTAAAAGAATTATTTTTCATAAATACTTCATGTAATATGTTTCCATATGTGCTGAAACTGGTCTTCAGTCTTTGAGACTCTATATGCCTCTTCTATATTTTATCCTGCTTAAATCTGCAGCTGCCAAAAGTGCCAATACCTCTTCCCTTTCATAGGATATCTGTTGATCAACAAGTTTTTAAATTTGAAGCTCCACCGATATGCATTGCTGTTTTCATTTTGTAATTATAAAAATGTAAACCACACAGCTGTGGGTACCGCCTGAGGAATCCTTGCAGCAGCTGCAATTCCAATGCTTTTTTTGCCATGAAAAGGGCACTGAATCCTTGGAATATAGAACAATGTTCATGCTCTACTTGGCAGCTGCATGACGCTGACAGATTTTGGTTGCTTTCGGAAAGTGACTTCATGGGGAGCAAATAAAGGAATAGGTGAAGCATAACGTATTTGAGATGAAAATATTGGTCCCTTTCATTAAAAAAAAAATGAATGCAATTATATTGCAAATCATGGAAGCTCTTTAGTGATGAGGTTTAATTATTCCAGCTGATTTTGTAAATCTCCTTTTAACATCAATTTTATTCAATTCACTTTATTAACACGTTTTTATTAACTCGCTTTCTTGTCAGTTTGTTTGTCCGGATCAAATTTTGCAACTCAAATTTTGCTCACTTCCCGACTAGCTAGCAAGCTGAAACTTTCAGGGTAGCTTAGAAACTGATGACAATGCAATCTTTTGTGAAAAAATTAATTTTAAGAATATTTTTTAAAAAGAATAAAATAATTATAGTAGATTAAAAAATTAATCTAAAAAACCATGTTTTTCAAGTAAGACTAAAAAGCACAAAAAAATTTAGTAGATTAAAAAATTAATCTAAAAAACCACGTTTTCAAAAAGCAAAAAATAACCTTAAACATGGTGCGCATGGAGATTGTTGGGAAGAAGTGAAATACAAATGAAATAGATGCGCACCACGTTTAAGGTTATTTTTTGCTTTTTGAAAACGTGGTTTTTTAGATTAATTTTTTAATCTACTAAATTTTTTTATGCATGATTTTGGCTGGTGAAGCATAATGTACTCTACTTGATCTTAAAACATTGGTCCTATTCATTTTCAGAGAAAATAAATATATTGTAAATCACTTAATTATATAATTCTCAGTGTTGTGGTTTAATTCTTTCAGCTTTTGGTGCGTGTGTCTTTTGAAAATATTTCTTTTAATCCATGTACTGCAATTTATTTGTGAAAATGGCAAAGTCAAGGTATCCAGGTGGTGCTCCACAATCCAACCCTAATATGTTGCCAGGCTGCGGTCAACTTGTGATGCAGTTGAATTGCAAGACAATGTCAAGGTCAATGTTTTATTCATCAAATTTGATGTTTTGGGTCTGCCTGCAGGTCAAATTGCGGGGCAGAGGTCAAATTGCAAGTCAATGTCCCAGCAAATTTGACTATCTCATTGCGGGATGGTCAAATTGCGGGCTGTCATATTGCAAGGTAACACCTGTATAGAGTAAAATACTGTCAAAACACAGCCACTGGGACCAGTAAAATAGCTTAGTTATTATGAATTTTTTATAAAGATGCTCACAAAACATAGCAACTTTTGGACACGGACCTAAAAATTATTTTTTTTTCAATTGATGATTAAATTCATTGAGACAAGATTTTACTGTATCCCAACAGTGTATGGGTGAAATTCTCAAGTCCCATCATTCACAAGTCGCTGACTAAAAATATGTGAAGAGAAATGAAAATAATTATCTGAAGAGAAATGAAAATGATTTTGGATTCCTTCATGATTTGTGTCATGATGAGCAAAAAGGGTATTTCTTATTCTGGAGAGGGAAACATTTCCAAATATTATACTGTCATGCCTTTTTCAGGTCAGTCAGGTGCTATAAAAAAATGATCATTCTGCTGATTGTTGTACCACAGTCAAACACCCTCAAGTAAAAATATAAATTATCAGAATACGAATCTCTGGTTAATTTTCTCATTACTGATGTATTTCAAACGTGTTTAACTTCGAAAACGTATTAAATCTTCATTATTATAATTTTTAAGGCCTTTGGTTGAATTAATGTTGGTCCTAATTCTTGAACTCCTGTTCCAGAAAAACAGCAAAACACGTGCAAATGATTTCCTAATGTGTTTTCCAAGCAACTTCTTGTGGGTAGGAAATCTTTCAATAATAATCAATTCTAAGAAATTGGCCAGAACAAAAATTTTCTAGATTAATTTTCACAAATGAGGCTCAAAATTCTTGAAGAAAAACTCCCAACGTTTTGAATTACTGTATTCCCTCTCCTTGAATTTTACTTTGAGAGGGACGAATTGTGTAACAGTACCATTGGATTAACTGTTTTTTTTTAGTTTTATTTGCATGTTGAAAGCGTATGGAATATGCCTTGAACAGTTACAGCTTTTGCTTTTCAGTTGAAGATGAAATTTTCACAGGTTAGTGCGTGGTTCTGGGTACATTTTATGACCTTCGCGATGGGTTTGCTGGAGGCCTTGGCCAGGGGGGGGAAAGAATGAGCCGATCAGTGAACTTTGCCTGGGGTTCAATGCCCTCCTGGGCGATTTTCTTTCCAAACACAGGCGAAGTCTCTTTCTTTCGGGTGACAAGCATCCGACCTACATGAATTCAACCTATCCTGCAAAGCCCTTCTTAATGAGCTTATTAATCCTCTCGTTTTTCCAAGACAACATCTGACCCATGACTTAATCCCTATCTCGCGCGCCAAGCTTTCGACCTATCCTTTTTGTGTGGACCAAAGAAAACGGCTGTGAAGTTAAATTACAATTGTATTTCAAACTAATTCATAAAATAACAAAATGAAAACTAAAAATTGATACGGTAATAACAAACAATCCAAGGTACAGTTCAGTGCAGTAAAAACAGAGAGAAAAAAAGGCCAAAAATTTCAATGATTATCACGAGCAGCTGTGTCATCAGAGTCTTTTCAATATACTTAGGATTCTTATGGGGAAGTGGACCACCTAACTCCCTGTCAACAAGTTTTGATGTCATTTTCAACCAAATCCCATACACACTTCTAACAAAATGCCAAAAATTAGGATGAGGCATTTCAAAATAATTTTTCAGAGCCGCATGCCAGCTTTCAACATGGTTATTTGTTCAAACTTCAACAATGAACCAATCCCAGTGCATATGAGGGAACGCTTTTGCGGGGTTACCCAAGTTCATCAGCCACACTGGCATTAAATAAGTAATTATTTTCATGACTCAAAGATCGTCAAGAAGTAAATTCATTTCTCTCAATGCCAGTGAGTCCGCAGTCATCAATGCATCTATAAATTTAAAAAATGAAATAATAACGTGCGACATATTGCAAAGCGGGTTCATGACTTACTTCTTGACAAACGTTTTCACAAATTTGCAAAACAGGTTGATTGATATTTTAGAAATTGAGTACCAATGACTTAACCAGCAATTTCATTTTATATTCTTCCATTTCTGGCTGATCATGTCAGTGAGTGTCATTAGACATACCATCTTTGTAGAAAAACTTCCCTTCTTGCAAGTGACCCTTCGCACTACAGCCAGTTGTCAAGTGATTTCCACAACGTACAGCAATGTTGCCATTGGAATGCAGCACATGTTGCTTCAGATAAATGAAGCCACCACCAAGAAAACTGTGGCCATTGGTTCAAAGTTCAACATTGAAATAATCCATTATTGCACCAAAAATTCAAAGATTTTCAAAATTTCAAGAATCTTGGGACATGGTGCTTCAAGACAATATATGCACCACAATGACATCAGTGGATTTACAAGTGTTACCAGACTATTTTTAGGTTAATTCAAACTGCTATGGCAGCCAGGTTTATGCCCCCAATCCCAATTAACGTTGCGTTTGTTTGTGATTTTGAAACAATGTGATTTGTGATTTACTAACAACTATTCAAATGATGTTCCCTCTAGCTACCATTTGGGGCTGTTTCTTTCATTATGCACAATGTATTTGGCGGCGCGTAGCTGACAAGTATGAGGCGGTGTATATGTCCAAACGTAACTTCCAGTATTTAATCAAACTTCTAATTGCTCTTGGTTTGGTGCCCAGGGGAATGAAGGGGTATTTCTTTCATACTTGTTTGCCAAAATTCATGGGCAATCTTTGAGTCATGAAAATAATTGTTACTTATTTTATGCCAGTGTGGCTGATGAACTTGGGTAACCCCGCAAAAGCGTTCCCTCATATGCACTGGGATTGGTTCATTGTTGAAGTTTGAACAAATAACCATGTTGAAAGCTGGCATGCGGCTCTGAAAAATTATTTTGAAATGCCTCATCCTAATTTTTGGCATTTTGTTAGAAGTGTGTATGGGATTTGGTTGAAAATGAAATCAAAACTTGTTGACAGGGAGTTAGGTGGTCCACTTCCCCATAAGAATCCCAAGTATATTGAAAAGACTCTGATGACACAGCTGCTCGTGATAATCATTGAAATTTTTGGCCTTTTTTTCTATCTGTTTTTACTGCACTGAACTGTACCTTGGATTGTTTGTTATTACCGTATCAATTTTTAGTTTTCATTTTGTTATTTTATGAATTCGTTTGAAATAAAATTGTAATTTAACTTCACAGCCGTTTTCTTTGGTCCACACAAAAAGGATAGGTCGAAAGCTTGGCGCGCGAGATAGGGATTAAGTCATGGGTCAGATGCTCGTCTTGGAAAAACGAGAGGATTAATAAGCTCATTAAGAAGGGTTTTGGAGGATAGGTTGAATTCAGGTAGGTCGGATGCTTGTCACCCTCTTCATCGACTCCATGTTCTTACCTGCACCACATGGGTCATCTCTTCAGTTCTTCTTGATACTGGGATGATCCTTGCGAACTAATCCCTTCATTCTGTAGAATGTACAGACCTTCCTCCATGCGGTTTAGAAAATTTAGAAGAGTTTGATGGAGGTGAAGAGGATTTCACGATCGGGGAAAATGCCTTAACGCATTTCAGAAAGAAAATAAACTGACGGAACTTTTCTTGAATCCATTTATAGTACGTGGACGAAACTTTCTGCTTATTCTTCCCCAAAAAATGAGAAGTGAAGAATAACGGAATTCTTTCTAGCGTATTGATAGCCAGATAATGCTTAAAGTTCTTCAGCGGAAGAAGAAGGTAAAGAATATTTTTTACGAAGCATTACATACGCGTGCTTGCTGATCTGAATCGTTCTTGCAGATGTTCAATATGAAGTATAGTGCAGGTTTTTCGTGGGACACAGAAATGTGGCTTATACAATACCTGAGTTTTCGGGCCACCTCTTTCTGGGGGTGGGGGGGATCGCAACTTATTTATTATATACTGTACTCCTGTATGCTAGGATATAACGAAATGTCTATGATGAGTCGATAGCCATGGCATTTCACAGATCTGATTCCATCGGATCTTGGAAGGTTTGATGCTTGGAGTCAATTCTAGGAAGAGGGAATTACGATAAAATAATTCTCTATATATGGAGGTCTGAAGAGACGTATGATGAAAGGCCGCTGAGGGAAATGACGAGTGAGAATGTAATATATGGAACAAATATTTTTTTTTAAATGCTGCAAAGAAAAATCAAAGAAAACATGAAGGTGGAGAATGAAGAGTGAAAAACTCCGTGACAGGAGTCATAACAAAAAATTCTATCCCACAGAAACATTTTCTGAAGCAATTGGGCAGAAATTCTCAAATGAATGCATTTTCCAAGCATAACCATCGAAATAATGTATCTGCAATGCAAGGTTAAAAAGGTTATTTCGTCGCCTTCAACTCATAAAACTCTGAATAATATCTGTTGTGGCGTCGTTTTCTCTCGGCATTTTTTCAATTACAGATAAAATAATTGTGTTATTCAATTGAAAAAAGAAATTAAGCGGTGAGTGATGAATGTTGAAATATATTTGCCCTCCGTTTTCTTCCTCCTCATCATCATCATGGATCGTCATCCTCTAAGTGTAGATGTTTCCTTACTGCGAAGAATTTCTCCAAACTTTTCGGTCTCATTTTCGCTCTTCGAACTGAATAATTTCGCTTCCTATCTGTATATGTTTAGTGAAAAAATCAGAGGAATTGTTGGAGGAAAAATATAAAATAAAAACGAGGAGTGCATAGTTTCTCTTCTTTCATACGACGCAAGGGCGGTAAATCGTCAGGAACGTACATTTCATAATCAGCTTTACTCGTGCAGAAGTGCTAGGTGGAGAAGGAAAACGGCTTTTTGAAGATTCTTTTTCGAAAAAATAAATTTCTCTGCCCGTGAATTCCACACGGCTCGCATGTCGATAAAATTTGCTGTCATTCCAGTCGATGCCAAACGTGGATGTTGGGTTTTTATCCCATTAGGTCCAGTTATCAAGCCTCACTTTGGGAATGCGGGAGGATGTGCATAAAATCTTCGGATTCCTGCACAAAAAAGGTACCAATTTGCAAAATGTCAACTGTGCAAAAAATTGAACTTCGTAAACCCACCAGATGGGAGATGGAAGCAGGAATGCAAGTGGCTGCACTTCTCCGATGTCCGAGTTGTCGCAGAGAATCCTCGCGTAGCTGACCTTTGTTTTTATCTCGGTCAACATTTCTACGAAAGATGTAAGTTTCGTGTAAAATTTATACTATTCATGTACAGTATTTATAAGGAATAGATTTGACAGGTGTCTAAATCTACGCAGGCAGTCCAGCTTTTAAATTCAACACGAGGTGATGCATTCACGAACAGGTATAGTCATCGAATCATTCAAAAAGTTAATCTTGAGAATATCAGAATAAGGCTGGAAATGCTCAAAATTTTTTGTGCATGATCAAATGAAATGCGCTCTATATATAGTACTGTAGTTCGAAAAATTCAAGCGAACGTTACATTCTTAAATAAAATAAATGCCGAATAGCTTCTAACCAGCGAGGCATTCTTTTCATGCTATGAAGCCTTGAACGTAATTGAAAACATTGTCCCAGCGATTAGAGAAGATTAAGCTAGTGAATGGAAGAGGAGTTTAATCGAGTTAGTCTGATTCTTCAGACATCAAATACATTAGGACTGCCTCGTAAATTTGCGGAACACATTTCTTTCATTTCAAGGCACCATTATACAGGTACCTCATATAATTTTAAAATTTTAAATAAACGTTAGTGCGGCATTACAATCTGAAACCGTGAATGAGATGCAACCATTCCACGTTTGAAGCAGAAAATGTATCAGAATTTAGCTTTTCTAAATTGCTCTAAATCCTCGAATCAAAGGAGCAAAATGAAGATGCCGAGGCCAGTGCCCATCGAAAAAAAGAAAATTAAAATCAACAATAAAACGTTTCGAACAACTGGCGTTTATTTAAAAAAAAAAATTTTCCTGGCAATTGGACATGTTTCATGATTAATGACTATGTACGCACCAGGACTGAACGAGCCAGCTTGACCACCAAGTTCATAGAAATGCCGATCTCCATGGCGCAATCTCCTGAATTGGTCGCCAATTATGCAAGCAAAAGTTTGCCCCACGATCCCGGACAGAACTGGCAACTCCACAAGACCGCCGACGAAAAGATCAATATCTGCCACGCTGGCGTACACTGACTTGAGCCTCTGAATCGCCTATATCATGGAAAAATGCATTTGAAAAATTATTTTTCATCGAATTCTGCTTTCTCTCCCCAAAATTAGGGTTAAAGTGCTTGTCAATATTGTACCTTTAAATCAAGTATTCAATGCCGTCACAAAATTTCATCTTCAAAATTCTTCAAATCTTAGTTGATCAATAATAAGGAAAGTTTCTCGTCATCATTCACGACTTTTCTTCATTTTGAAACTTCGACATTGAGAAAGTTCTCGTCCAATGAATGAACATGCTCGGACAGCGTGCGTGGCAGCATAAAAATTTCCTACATCAGAAAGTATTCTTGACCAGTTAATGATCATGAGATCGGGGACATAGCCACTGCAGAGAATTTCAAATGTACAGTATTTTGGTTAATTGTTGGCACAGTGATTAGCTCGATATTTACGAAGCGTGCAAGCTTCACCTCTAATCGTTTGTTTGACTGTAACTCAGACCTGGATCAAAGAACAATAACGGATAAGAAATTTTTTATTATTACTGTACTCAGGGGGGGGGGAACCATTCCAAATGACTTGAATAACAAATTATCATCAGACTGAAAAAAATTACGGAAAAATGATCGGTTTTTTCGTTTGAAAACTCACATCGTACGGAACATCTGGCGCCAAATCATCAAACGTCTTGGCTTTTGGAAGCCCGCAAGCTGCGCGAACAGTGTTGTAAGTCGGCAGTCCGTGATCTCGACCTCGTTGAATGTTCAGCGCCATCAAATCCAGGCCAAAAGATTTCTTCGCTTTGAACAGCAAGTTTCTCAACTACGGGGAAATGTTCAAGGCTTATGCGTGTGCAGAGTATAAAGAGTCCTTCAGCAATGATTACTCACGTCATCAACGATGCTGTAATCGAAGCGCTGCATTGGTGTTACGGTGTGACCGCGGATGAAATTTTCTACAGTTTCTGCGCGCTCAAAAGATGCCAAATCGTTGAAAGTGTCCTTCAGTGGAAAAGTTTCCGAAGGCGTATTCGAAGTTCTCGGAACAGCGCTGTAAGCAAGGGAAAAAAATCTTGCGTACGTGAAACATCAGTCCAAAACAATTTTTGTTTTCTGATCTCTTTCTAAAATGGCATTTATTCCATGGAAACTTGAAAATTACCCTTCAACATATCTCACCTTCTAGCTATGATGGTACCAACAGAGTGTGACCGAATCTAAACGCTGCCGTGGTAAACTCTGTCGCAATAATATTGATTCCGTGATATAATGAAGAGACTAAATCTGCCCTGAACGAGCAATTTTCAAGCTCTTCCTTACCCCCCGCTATTCAATTATAAGACTATCCCACTACGAAAAACTTTGGTACCAAGCGAAATTGTTTCTCAAGAAAAGATTTGTTCACAAAATTATCGCCAAAATATAGAAGATAAAGCTACCTATCGTTCCCGACTAGATATTTTGAATCGAATCAATCTCGTTCGAAAATGATTTCCACCCGAGGAAACTCCAGAACTAAAACTATAGTCCATCTGACATATATCTCACCTTCCAGTATGATGCACCAGAGTGTGACCGAATCTAAACGCAGCAGTGGAAAACTCTGTTGCAATTACGGGATTGACGTTTCGGCGATAGTATTTCCCGTAGCCATTTCGGAGGTACAAGTCAAATACCGACATCGCCGTAGGTCCTATAACAGGGGGCAGCCATTCGTTGTAGATGATGTGTTGCATTTCCGCGATGACGAAGCGACGGGCATCTTGGAACAACTGCTCATCTCCCCAAGTCGGGAACCGGGTTCTGAGTTCAGCTGCAACTCGATTATGTTCTCGTACCCAGACCATGTGAGCGAGCACCAATCCTGGTTGTTCATTCACTCTGGTATCGCCTGCAATGGATATTGCTCAACTGGTTCAGGAGACATGTCGTTCTTCTGCACGTCATGATGAAAATTAAATTTCTTTTACTGCGATGTACTCCATACAGCTGGAGTATTTTTGTGATTGAGGAAAAGCTCCAACAGAATTTAACCATGTGAGAACCTCCTCCATATAGAGAAAATTTTTTACCCAAGTAAATCTGAATAAACACTCAAAATCATTCAAGAGGGAATGGAATATAAGGGTAAAGCACATTGACAACAAAAACCGTAAGTGTACAACTCCAATTCAGGGATGTAATATATAATGAGAAATTAAGCCGTGTAGCTTGAAAAAGCTGCGTGTGATCATGAAAGTCTCGAAAGTATTGTATTATATCAACCTCATTGAAGTGAAGCTTCGTTGCGAAGTTCATCATGTTTAGGATGATTCCTCCCGTATTTTCCCCCATCAAGAACTTAATTAATTTTTAACACCCACAAAATGATTGTCTGCGTCTTATCCGCTCCAAAAAAAAAGGACTCTTGATCATATTTGGTCGAGAGAAGCAAATTCGAGAGATCAGATATTGTAAATTTTACGCCAGAACCATCTCGAATTAAAGTCGAAGAACCTTCAGACGAGCTATTGATTCAGTGTCTCTTTTTCCGCATCTGAGTCTCTTTAATCGTAAACACGGCCATTTTCTCCAGTATTTCTCGAGAATATTTTTACAGGGAATGCCCAGCGGGTTCACCGAAGTAAAAAAATAAATTAGACACAGCATGAATATACTCACCGGCAACAAAGCACGGAACAGTCTTATTGCCAGACGTGCACACACCCGAAGTTGTTGGTGCTCGAGGGAGTTGAGCCCTTCCTGTAGCCAGGGATGTCGTTTTCAGTCTGCCTCCGACACGTTCCCTTAGACTCAGCGTTTCGGCTTCATCTTGGCCGTAAACGTTTGAAGCGTCAAACCAAGCTGTCAATGCATTCAACTAAGGAAAACGAAAATCGAGCGACAAAATTCGCATTTAATTTACTCCCGTTGCTTGAAAAAATAAAATAAAATCTCCAGTTCATCACCTGTTCGGTATAAGCTGGGGATCCCGGACGCGATGGAGCAAAACTCGATCGTACAAACTCCATGCATTGCTGCTGGAATTTCGAGTAAAACGGGTCGTCGGCAGGGATTGAAATCGCCAGACATGACTGAAGAGGAGGTGGATTCAAAATGACTCCATTCTGACAACACGCAGTCGATCCTTGAAAAAAAAAATCGTCATTAGGAGAAACTTAATTAATTACTCTAATTGACCAGCATTTTCAACATCGATCAAGTTTCTGACAAACCTTAAATGTAATGAATAACGACTAAAAACATCTTGAAAATTTGCCTTTTTTATTAATTTCGGATTCCCGCCCACGGCCGAATCAAAGATAATGATCATTTTCCTACCGACATCCGGGACTGGTGTCTTGACGAAATCGTGATCGATGAATTGAGAAAACTGCACGAGATTGTTGCTGAAAATGGTCTCCATTCTGTCAGTGTTGATGAACACAGCTGAGCTGATTTTCCTTGCAGAAGGCAGCGTTCCCCCAAGAACGGACTTTGTCCTCGGCGTGGAAATACCTGTTCAAGCATAATAAACTGGTGATTCTAGGAAGTACGCTATTACGCATAGGGAAAAACCTACCGTCATCGTAAGTTGGATAGAAATAACGTCCCGTTGCCGTTTTAGATTGACCCCAGAATGTTTGGTAGGCATTGTTACAACTTCCATCTGCAGTTCTGTACTTGGACTGGAGAACTGCATTCGTGCAACTGGTGGCCTGAAAGGACTCAAGTTCACTCCATAGAGTAGTAATGTTACCATCATTCTGTTCGTCCATTTGCAACACTCCATTTGAAAACCTACATTAGAAAACAAAGATGAATTATTCCCTGTGGTTAGGACGCTTTCCTGAACTGGTGAGGATTTCTGGAACGTCACGCACACGGATATTGTAATAAAAGATTAAAAACCAAATAATAAAGCGACTCCAGAAACTTGCTTCTCATGAAGAAGGCGATTTGCTTCAGAAGAAATTCTACCCTCTCGGGCCATGTGGTTCAGTTCCTGTCCGCGGTCGATCATGAAATTTTGATGGACTTGTGCAGCACTTTGTTCGTCAATTTTTGCTGCTGTCCTCAGAATCTTCTCTTCAGCAGATATGTTTTCTTCCACAATTTTCTTCGCTTCTTTCCATGTCTCAAGCAGTTGTTTGTGAGACACGCCGGAGAATCGACTATCTTGCAACAGCCGTAGCTTTGGCGTCCCTGTAAATTCATAAAAAAAAAGTTGCAATAAAGAGGATATAAATCCAATCTGTAACTTTTCATTTCATACCGGCTGCTTGAAGGAAAAAAAATTATCTAGGGCATTCATTTTAGAAGACTCGCGGATCATAAGTTGAATATAAAGTAATCATTTCTAAATAAAAGTAATCGAAAAATTGATTTTTTATGCCACGTGAGCTGCGGTTTTATTAGCGTAGAAAACGTTTTGTAGTGTCTTTTCCAGGGAATAATTTTTGGAAGTTCAGCTGTATTTCGAAAGTGGCATCTACTGTATTTGTCAACATACCACTCATTCAAATGACAGATGTTTTGTTCTCTGTCACACTTACACCACATCATGTCTCCAGTCCGTGATTTTTTCTATCACAACATGGATGTGACCTAAATTGTTTCTCGTTATGTTTGATTTAATTCGAGTATACAGTAATGAAAAGTATCACGTATGCAATTGAGATCACAGCACTTACTTGAGGTTAAAAACTTCGAATAAACTGCGACGAACTAAAATTTTCCTTTACGTTCGAGATATTCAAGAAATGTTCGCACATTTATCAATCCATGAGAATTTTAGTCACCTGTGAATTTTGAAGCCAAGGGGTTTTGAGACCGCTGTGCAGTGCAACAAACTCCGGTTTCTCCGTTTTTCATTTTGCAGGCTGTCGGCTCATCGTTGCTATAATGCATGGCCATCAGGTCATGGACACAGGTAATGGAAGGAACACAGCGACCCAGAGTTCCAGTCGCATCCCGGCAAAGTATCGAGGATTCATCGGCATCATTCACTGTTGACTCCCAGGGGTTCCGAAGAAGCAAGGTGGGAGGAACTCCATGAATCGCGTTGTTGTACGAAGTTGGAGGATAGCTTCTTCCGGAAACTCGAGTGATGAACAGTACGCCCGCAAGAAGGGTGCTTTGATGAAGCCCCAACATTTTCCAGTAACTGAAAGGTATATAAAAGGTGCGATTGAAACTAATTCGCGGGGCGACTTCAATACGACATTTCACTGTTAACAACTTCGTCCAATGGAACTTTTTCTTTAAAAAAAAATTGCAGCGCAATGCTCCGAAGAGTGCCGCGCAGATACAGATGTAAGAGGACTTGGATCTATATAGTACGCGGTTTACGCAATTGTCAAAAACACATTTCCTGTGCGTCAAAAGCCACGTTTGTTTTTTGTGTATGAATTCCCCGACTTCCGTTTCTGAACACTTGGTACGTGTGCTATTTACTCGAAAAATGATGTGACGCATGTGCTGGAAGCCATTTTGTCAGCCGCCACCTGTGAAAATGTTTAACGTTTCTAGATGAAAATTTTCCAAATTTTTCCCGATCGCTTTTGAATTATTGAAGCTACTGAACTTTTCGAATTCTCCTCAAGATTTTGTAGACCTATAGACTGAATTTTCGGAATCGCAGAATTATTATTATTTTTTTACGAATGCAAACGGTTTTCAGCTTGTGAGAGAATATATTTTTTCAAAGAAGTGATGGGGAGACATTTATTCACGATATTTTAGGTCGCACCTAATTTTTGCACCGATTTGCGGGGAAATCCATCAGTTGTAAGCCGCAAAAATAAAGTATAGGCAATGTTTCTGAACGGAAAAAATGCATCAGTAAAAACCAACGAAGAACGACTTGTTTTCATGAGTTTAGCCTGCTGAGAACAAGAGCCAATCCAAGAAACTTCCTGAGAAGAAATGAATATACATTGTATTGTACCATCAATCCTTGATTTAATACCTTCCCTACATTACAATCAATCCCTACGTTGGGGTCACGGATTTTGCCTGGACAAATCGTTTTTCTTTTTTTCACACAGGATACCCCAATTTTGTGCCGATTATAGCTCACTAATATAATAACATACTCCTTGTCCTGGTTGAAAAATGTGTGCACAGCGCGGCAATCTGGGTTTTTTGAAAGATTCCATCGTCGTTTAACTGAAGAGAAAATAAGGTAAACGCATAGAAAATTATACTGTTCGGTGATTCGTTGCATAAAATTTTCTAGAATACTGTATATTAATTTAGTTCCTGTAAAAAGCCTTGTAACTAAATGAACTAAAATAAACTGAAAAGCTTTTCATCTTGCGCGATGAATGGGGTTTTGATAATTTTCAATAGATTAATGAAACGCCTTAAGTTCTCAAAAAATGAAATGGTTCTTTAACTGTAACATATTGTGCATCATCTTGGAGTCACTTTTCTCCACTCCTGGATGCCTGGCTCTTCTGGGTTTTGAACTCGGGTTTTCTGTATGGAACTGTTGAGTTATTACAGTGCGTGACAGCTGGATTGCCTCAACTACTGGAGCTTGTCTTTAAATTTTGAACGCACGTTGAGGAAGAATTATACTAATTCCGCACCTTTACCAGGGGTCCTGAAGAATAATTTTAAAAACATGTTTCACATGTGCTTCGGGATGCAAGAAACAAAGATTTTTCTTCAACTTGACTCATCAGGAAGGTTTGTTTCCTTCCTGGCATCATTCTTCGAAAATCAGATGTTCACGATGAACACCTAAATTTCCTGATATTTTGGGCATATCGACGTACAGCATTATTATCGATTTATATATGTACACAGAACATTTACAACCCTATGAAATATATAAAGCAACACCCATACTAGCATAAAATGCAATTTTCAGCACTAGTAAAGCAGAAATATACCGTTGAATGTATTTAAAAACAGGTCCAATAAAGCAGTACCAAGCTGAAATACTATTTTATTTAGTCTTCTGCAACTCTTGATTTCTGAAAAATATTTTCTGTAGCGGCATTTCCTGTTAATAAAAAAAAAATATGAAAGACCGTTTATTTTTTAACAAAAGCCAAATGGGGAAGTTGACCTTCAGTTTTCTTGAGCCTTCACATTATGTAAAGGTTAACTCTCTCTACAATGATCTTGTCAACGACGATTTTTTCTGCACAAAAAAATTTCTTGTGGTCCCATATGGGGTTCTCTCCCCGTGTTATGGGTTGTCCATATGGAGAGAACTGTGAAAAGTTCTCTCCACAACGAATTTTATTCTGTTCCCTTGAATTTCGTTGTAAAGAGAGTCCAACTGTATTCGCCTGTGCTAAATGGGGCTGTCTCTTTCATTCGAAGTATTTCTCTGAAGTAAATTATTTCTTTTCTCTCAACTTCACATACTAAAGCGTGGATATATAAATGAAAAATGACGAGTGTGCCGTTATTCTCTCTTTTTTTTCGTACAGCGCGTCAAGTGCAGAAAAACAGAAAAATTGTGAAGAACCTCAATTTGATTATCAGCATTACTTTTCGCGCGGAGTGCATGGTGCAGGTGGATAATTTTTCGTCGTTTTTGTTTTCTCAAGATTCCCGATAAAATACACACAATTTCGTGCTTGTGAATTCCACACCGCAAGCAATTCGATATGACCAGGTAGCAATCCAGTCGGCATCAAACCTGGATGTTGGGGGGTTATTAAAATCCCATTTTAGGTCCATTTGTCCAAGTTAACTTTCGGAATAAGTGTGGAAGTGCATGAAAGCCTCGGATTCCTGTACAAAAAGGTACGAAGTTACAAAAGTGTAAGTGTGTAAATAATGGAAAAATGAAGACCCACGATGCGGGAGATGGAAGAAGGAATGCAAGTGGCTGCACTTCTCCAATGTCCGAGTTGTCACAGAGAATCCTCGCGAAGCTGACCTTCGTTTTTATCTCGGTCAGCATTTCTACAAATAATGCAAGTTTCTTGTTAAATGCTTCCATGAAGGAATCAATTTGGAAGGTGTATAAATTTAAACACGAAGTTCAACGTTTAAATTCAACACGCGGTGATTCATTCACAAAATTTCATCTCTATCATTTCTAGCTGAATTCTGGTACTCAAAATTTTTTGTATTTCTATTTCATCTTATAAAATTATACGGGAAACTCAGGCACATGTTATACGGTATCTTAAAATAAAATAAATTCAGAATTGCTTCTTACCACCGAGCGCAATTTTGGTAGACGGAATCTATAACTTAATTTTCTCAAAAATGGGAGAAGATTAAGCTAGTAAAATGGAGGAGTGTATCAACGTCTGATTTTTTGAACATCAAATGCAACGGGGTTACGTGACTTGCGTCATAGATTTGTTGGAAGAACATTGTTTAAATCTAAGGAACAAAAAATCGTGGTACGTTTCTTTTTAGTCGATAGAAATTTAAATAAACGTAAGAACGGCATTACGTTCATGGGCACCCAATTTGATACCATGGATGATGTAATAAAAGGAACAAAGAGCTACTACAATGCTGTCCATTCCGTCTTTTTGTGCGATTTCGAAAATTATGACTGTTGATGATATCCTGTGATGTCTCGATGATTCAATTGTTCTTCTATAACCTTCTTCAATTGTTCGCAAGTTTTGAAGAATCATATGCGGCCTTTCCCAGTTAAAAGTACAAAACCAGATTTCAGCTCTCTGAATTGCTTTAAATCCTCGAATCAAAAAGGAGCAGAAGAAATATGCCCAGAGCATCGTTTTTCGTAAAAAAAAAAATTGAAGAAAAATCAAGAAATGAACATTAAAATATGTTAACAACTGGCGTTTTTTTTTTTTACGTTGTTCGTCAATATTATACACATCTTTCGTGATTCTCGATTAAATATACGCACCAGGACTGAAAGAGCCAGCTTGACCACCAAGTTCATAAAAATGCCGATCTCCGTGGCGCAATCTCCTGAATTGTTCGCCAATTATGCACGAAAAAATATGCCCCACGATGGCATTCGGAACTGGCGTCTCCACGAGACCGCCGACGAAGAGATCAATATCTTCCACGCTGGCGTACACTGACTTGAGCCTCTGAATCGCCTATATAGCAAATAACATTTTGAATATTTTTTTTTCTAATTCTGCCTCCATCAAAATGCTGTACCCTACAAATAAGATTTTCAAAACTGTTTTCGTTTATCAAGGAAGACTTGAACAAAATATTTCCAGGCTAGCAAAAAAGTATGAACTCACATCACTCGGAACATTTTGCGCCAAATCATTAAACGTCTTGGCTTTTATGAGCCCACAAGCTGCACGAACAGTGTTGTAAGTCGGCAGTCCGTGATCTCGACCTCGTTGAATGTTAAGCGACATCAGATCCATGCCAAACGATTTCTTTTCGTTGAACAGCAAGTTTCTCAACTGCGGGTCAACATACGTTCAGGAATGTTCAAGGCTTACGTGTGCGGAGTCCTTCATCATTGATTACTCACGTCGTCAATGATGCTGTAATCGTAGCGTTGCATAGGCAATACGGCGTGACCGCGGATGAAATTTTCTACAGTTTCTGCGCGTTCAAAAGATGCCAAATCGTTGAAACTGTTCCTCAGTGGAAAAGTTTCCGAAGGAGTATTCGAAGTTCTCGGAACAGCGCTGCACACAAGGAAAAGAGAATGCTGAGTTCAAGCGCAAGATTTCGCATTTGTCGACTTTCGGTAGCGAGATGCTGCAATTTGTAAAGGTCGCATAGCATTCAAAATTTCTGAGGAAAACCACAACTTATACACAGGCTAAACCGGCTATTTTTCCCCAAAAGAAATGTCCCGTAACGAAAATAACGTTTCAAATCCAGGGCGTGAAAGAAGCCATACATGGAAACTCATTGAAAGGAAGGAGAGGATTCATACTCGTTGAACCGAACAATTTACGGGTCAATTCAATCACGGTAAACTGGTCAATTGAACTCTTGAATCTGTCGCAAGTATGGGAATGCAATCCAGTCATTGCTCGAATGTCTCATTTGAGTATAGGCCACATCCAAGCAAAAAACGGGGCCATTAACCCAGGAATTCAGCGCAATTATACAGTACCTCTATTACATGAGCTTTATGGCCGAGTGAGTGAAATGGGGAAGCTCAAAATGAAATTTTGAATCTGCTTCTTTTATTTTATTGATGTAGAAGTGAAGTCGATAAATTTACATTGGAAGAAATTATGGAGCTTATGCTCAGATTACCTGGATAAAAATAATCGTGAAAATTTTTACTTCAATGGAAGGTTATATAGTGACCGGTTTATTTTGCAATGTAAATTTAAATCTCTTCATTTTTTGCACTGGTGTTAGGGATTCTAATTATTCGATCCTATGCCCCAAGATTTGCGAGAATTTCATATTTTCCGCCCATCTTAAAAATTTTCAATTCCTGAAATCATTATCAAGCATTTCCAATCGTGATAATCAATAATTCGGGGGAAGGACCCCCCCCCCCCCTGAAGGGATCTTCAGCGCGAGAGCTGTAGAACAGTTTCCGCGGTCGGGCTACCATTTCAGGAAGAGAAACGACGAAAAAGTAACCTTCATATAAATCGCGATATTGCAGTATGATCTTGATTCAGTGGATTAATGTTGAAAGAATGTCTGTACTGAATAACAAATTTTCGAGCTCATTTTTCCCCGAACAATTCGTTTATTGATTTGTCACGAAGAAAACCGTAGGTTTTGGGCGACATTTCTTCTCAAGAAAAGATTTCATACAGAGCATATTACGCCTGAAATGTAGGAAATAAAGCCATCTATCGTTCCCGACTGGATATTTTGCATAGAATCTTTTTCGAAAATGGTTTCCCACCCGACGAAACTCCAGAACTAAAACGAACTGTAGTCCATCTGACATATATCTCACCTTCCAGTATGATGCACCAGAGTGTGACCGAATCTGAACGCAGCCGTGGAAAACTCTGTTGCAATTACGGGGTTGATGGCTGGGTTATAGTATTTTCCGAAGCCATTTCGGAGGTACAAGTCAAATGCTGACATCGCCGTAGGTCCCACAACAAGAGGCAGCCATTCGTTGTAGATGATGTGTTGCATTTCCGCGATGACGAAGCGACGGGCATCTTGAAACAACTGCTCATCTCCCCGAGTCGGGAACCGAGTTCTGAGTTCAGCCGCTACTCGATTATGTTCTCGAAGCCAGATCGTGTGAGCGAGTGCCAATCCTGGTTGTTCATTCACTCTAGTATCGCCTAAAAACCAAGAGACACCGTTGAATTTTGACAACTCGAACCTCCACAAGGTGAATATCACCCTATTTCACATTATTTCGAAGTCCCAGTCTGAATTCCCTCAAAACGATGCATTAAAAACCTACCAAACTCAAAGACTTTCCTCCTCAAATATCCATAACTCGAATTTCCTGGAGGGTTTTTGGCTATTATTTTCTAATCTTGACTGCAAAGAGAAACGCAATAAAAATTTAAATTCATGTGTTTTGAAATGAGTCCTATAACAACTTATTCAAAAAGCGATTTCAGGTCTAGAATACAGTACTGTATCATAAATCACAATGTCCCGTCCCGTGATTTTTTTTCTGTTGTCTAATAAAAATGTTAGTTTCCCTTACAAGTTTTTTGCTAATCCCTTGAATAGTTCGACTGAACTTAAGTTGGCTTTAACTTGCAAGTAAATTCTGCGAGGGGATTCTTTTTCTTCGCAATTTAGGAATAAAATGAGGTTGTCTGTATTATAACTTAAGATGTACTGCACTGTGTACAGCAAAAAACAGTATTTCTGGTTTCAAGGACCTGCTGTAACTGATCTGTGTAGTGCCAGAACCTCCTCTATAGTGAAATTGTTTCCTCATCGTCCTCACCAATTTGTTTGTCCATGATCATCCACTGGCCAGGTTATCCGCGAAGCAAACATACGATTGGTAATATCATATCAGCATATGGGATGATGGAATATTTAGGAAAAGCGAGAAGTCTACGAATCCCAAGGTGCTCAACTCTTATTCAAGGAAGTAAGTTATGATGACTTCAAGCACTGAAGGTTATAGAGAGAGCTTCGTTTAAGAATATCATGATAAAAAAATTATAGATCTTCAAGAAAGATGAAGTTTGTTATTGTGCTAAGTTTACCTTCGATCGTTTAGAATGCGAGCTATACTCATATTTTGTCAAGTCCAGAAATGCAGTAATGTTCATCATCTAAAATGCTGTATGATGTATATATAGTCTTCCTTTTTCCCTAAAATAAATTAAACAGGACTCATGATCACGGTCGAATGAAGCAAACTTAAGAGAAAAAATAATGTAGATTTTGCGACAGAATCATCTTGAATTGAAGTGGAATCACAGGTATAATCCGAGTCTTTCGAATCGTACATACGACCATTTACTCCAGTATTTCCCGAGAACGTCTTTACAAGGAATAATGTGTCGCAGGTTCATAGAAGTAAAATATGAAGTTGACACATGAATATACACACCAGCAAGGAAGCAGGCGACAGTCCTATCTCCAGAGGTGCACCCGCCCGAAGTTGTGGACGCTCGAGGGAGTTGAGCCCTTCCTGTAGCCAGGGATGTCGTTTTCAGTCTGCCTCCGACACGTTCCCTTAGACTCAGCGTGTCGGTTACGTTTTGACCGTAAACATTTGAAACATCAATCCATGCTGTCAATGCATTCATCTGAGGAAAACAAGAATTGATCGACACAATTCGCATTTGATTTCGTCCCGCCACTGAAAAAAAAAATATTTTTTTTTCAGTTCAGAACCTGTTCGCTGTAAGCTGGGGATCCAGGACGCGATGGAGCAAAACTCGATCGCACGAACTCCATGCATCGCTGCTGGAATCGAGAGTAAAACGGATCGTCGGCAGGGATTGAAATCGCCAGACACGACTGAAGAGGTGGTGGATTCACAACGACTCCATTCCTGCAACACGCAATCGACCCTGAAAAAACATATTTTGTCAGTAGGAGATTTTTAATAATGTGAATAGTGACCCAAATTCACCAGCATTTTGAACATTGATACACTTTCTGGTAGACACTGAACACATGTGATCATTACATTCCGGACTAAGAAAATCTTTACATTTGGCCTTTCCTCGGTGAAGTGAAGATGACAGCGTGATACTGCCCGAATTTTAGTTATGATCGTTAGACTGGTCTTGCTGGGATAGATCATAGATGTGACTCTGGCTATTTTTGGCTAGCATTAGGACTGCATCGTTTCAGTTAATTTCGAAATTTGGTTAATTAATGTTGTTAGGTTGGGATAGAACAGATGATAGGTTTGGTTAATTAGGCGATATTCCAGTTCAATTGGGTTCTAAGCTCGTTCAGTCTGGTTCGACGTTGAACTAGATGAGGTTCCATGTTCGTTAGCTGCACAATAGGTCCAATTCGCTTGCTTTGAGGGCTGGTTCAGCATGGTTACACAAAGTAAGCATCAAAACCATTTCATAAGACGATAAGAAGCCGACTGAAGGAGCAGTTTCTTCAAAATTTGGTACGAATTATGATTGCGTTCATGTGCGAATATTTTCAAAACATCGTTCGCGGCTGATCAGATATACAGTAATTATAAGTTTCTTACCAACATCCGGGACTGGTGTCCTAGTGAGATCGTGATCAAGGAATTGAGCAAACTGCACGAGAGTTTGGCTGAAAGTCGTCTCTAATCTGTCAGTGTTGATGAATACGGCTGAGCTGACTTTTCTTGCAGAAGGCAGTGGTATTCCAAGAACGGACTTCGACCTCGGCGTAGAAATACCTGTTCGGGCATCATCAAATGAGGATTCCAAAACGTGAGGAACTACGTGGAAAAAGAAATTACCATCATCGTAAGTCGGAGAAGAAAGACGCCCCGTCGCCGTTCTAGATTGACCCCAGAATGGTTGGTTGGCATTGTTGCAACTTCCATCTGCAGTTCTGTACTTGGACTGGAGAACTGCATCAGTGCAACTGGTGGCCTGAAATGACTCGAGTTCACTCCATAGAGTAGTAATGTTACCATCATCCTGTTCGTCCATATGCAACACTCCATTTGAAAACCTACGTTGAAAAAAAAGATGAATTATTCCCAGTTTAGGACGATTTCCTGAACTGGTGAGGATTTCTCGAACATCACGCACACAAATATAGTAATAACAGATTAAAAGCCAAATAATAAAGCGACTTCAGAAACTTGCTTCTCATGAAGAAGGCGATTTGCCTCAGAAGAAATTCTACCCTCTCGGGCCATGCTGTTCAGTTCCTGTCCACGGTCGATCATGAAATTTTGATGGACTTGGGCAGCACTTTGTTTGTCAATTTTTGCTGCTGTCCTCAGGATCTTCTCTTCAGCAGATATGTTTTCTTCCACAATTTTCTTTGCTTCTTTCCATGTCTCAAGCAGTTGTTTGTGAGACACGCCGGTGAATCGGCGGTCTTCTAGCAACCGTAGCCTTGGTTTACCTAAATTCATGAAAAAATACGTGTACATCATAGATTTTAAAAATATTATCTGCAACATTTCAAAAAAAATTTTTCTAAAATTCGCGCGGATCAAGGTGCAGAAAATTTCAGGATCCCGGATTTCCCAGGTCGAACACATTATTTTTGTATACGACGACAGCGCTACACTTTCTTCACATTGAAACATTATTATAAATGGATTTTGTGGCAAGTCATGAAAAATATTCTTGGAAAAGTGTCGTTGAGTCACCTTTTGGATGGCAGGTATTTCTAAAATGGGATCTGCTGCATGATCAACATGCTGTTGGTGGTAAATGCAGTTCTTTGGTACTTCTGTGTTAGACTACTGCATTCATGGGACTCATGAGTTTTGTCTTGGTGCATAGATGTCACCTCACTTGAACGTCTTTATGTAGTAGGCAACTAGAGGTCAAGTTTTTTTCTAATCGATTCGTCTCTCGTCAATTTATTGCACACTCCCATTCAAGTTCAAAACTCCAAGAAGTGGGCAAAATGCAGAAAGGTGACAAAATTTTTCTCGGTGACAATTATGTTCCAGAAAAACTGAGAAAAACTGGAATAACCGTGGATTTCATTAGCTAATTAGAGTTCCTCATTGGCCCAAATGATGGACATTCTATCGCACATAGTCAATATCATAAGCCAGGCAGGGCCCAGCCAAAACGTCCGAACTTTTGTTTCACAGCTTTTTGGAAGTTTCAAACGTTGAGACATGTTTCACTGGAACTCATGAACCCAACTTGAAAAAAATCGAAGTCCTCAAAAACATCTGGGAATTTTTGTGAAGAATGTATAGATAAGAGAGGGTATAATAATCATGAACAAATAATAATTCCATGAGAATTAGCAGTGGTGTTACCGAAACTTGAAAGGATTTCTCAAGAATATACTGCAGAGAATGGGACCTTTTCTCAACAGTGAAGATATTGAAGAAAATTTTCGACATTCCACAATGATGGGCAGTTGATCAGTCACCTTCAAATGTTAAGGCGGAGACAGTTTGAGACTGCTGGGCAGTGCAACAAACTCCCGTTTCCCCGTTTTTCATTTTGCAGTCAGTCGGCTCATCTTTGCTGGAAAGCATGGCCATCAGGTCATGAACGCAAGCGATGGAAGGAACACAGCGACCCAGAGTTCCAGTCGCATCCCGGCAAAGTATTGAGAATTCATCAGCTTCATTTACTGTTGATTCCCAGGGATTCCGAAAAAGCAAGGCAGGAGGGACTCCATGAATCGCGTTGTTGTTTGAAGTTGGAGGATAGCTTCTTCCCGAAACTCCAGCGATGAACAATAAGCCAAGAAGGACAGTGACTTGATGAAGCCCTGACATTTTCTAATAACTGAAAGGAAAAGGGCGCGAATGAAAAAACTCCGCGGGGCAAATTCAATTCCACAAATCTATATTTAAGAAGTTCAATGAAATATTGTTTCTTTCAAAATGATTTCAGCAACGCTCCGAAGAGTGCTGCGTAGAAATATGCAGTATGTTACAAGAGTTCAAGAGCGCTGCTTAAATAGGTAGCAAAAACACTTACACTGCGTGAACGTCGCATTTTTGAGCGTGAACTCCATGAGCTCCATTTCTGAACACTTGGGATTTGGGCTATTCATATAATGATCGAACAGAAGTAGAAGCGCTGTTGTCAGCCACCTGTGAACATGGTGAAAGCTTCTATGTAGAGGAGTAAAGTTGTGCCTTTGCCCAAAACTACGACTACGTTAGTTAAACTCGCAGCTTCACGGCATACATTTACGTAGTTGACGTCCTTATATAATAACTATAGTAAACAAAACTAATTTTTAGGTTAACCCAAATAAAATTAATCACCTGAAACGCAGCACATCGTCGCAGCTATTTACAGCCAAATCTTCAGTTGATCATCACTCTATACGTAAAATCCCACAGCATGGAATTGCGTAACCTTATTAAAAATGAGTCATATCAGGTCTCATCATGACACACAAGTGTGCGAGATCACCCAGCACGCGTCTGTTCTCGACGGTACGACCTGGAACGTCCAATATAACTTGTTACGCTCTCTTTCTCACAAAATTGTGCAAAATTCAAAAAAACACGGAAAAAATCTCAAGTTGGGCAGATTTCTTTCAAACGCACTCAAGCTTCCTACAAGAATAAGTGTTCTGGGGTCAAATATCCTGGACCTTCAAAGCTTTATTTTCTTCCAGAGTTATTCATGCCTCAGCTTCCTATGGAAAGATGGCCATCCCAAAAGGCCATTATATTCCAATATCTTCATCAGAACAGTACCACGTAACTGATTATTTTTCAATTGAACGACGACGATCATTATTACCAAAATAAACTTCCACAATCTTGGGAAAAGCAACATACGTACGTCCATCTTTCAAAGTGCATCCCATTTGTTGCGTATAGTTGTTTTTGGGACTCAGCCAATGAGCTTCAACTTGCCCTGGAATGAAACGAACGTGGAATAACGAACAGTATTGGGCGATGAAAGGGAAGTTATATGAAAGCTCACCGGTCCCANGTGCTGCGTAGAAATATGCAGTATGTTACAAGAGTTCAAGAGCGCTGCTTAAATAGGTAGCAAAAACACTTACACTGCGTGAACGTCGCATTTTTGAGCGTGAACTCCATGAGCTCCATTTCTGAACACTTGGGATTTGGGCTATTCATATAATGATCGAACAGAAGTAGAAGCGCTGTTGTCAGCCACCTGTGAACATGGTGAAAGCTTCTATGTAGAGGACATTTCAACACGGAAACGGGTTTTGATGCTGATGCAATCAATTTGAGCGTCGAAGTGCCGTATGTAAATGCATCAACTGCAGGAATATATTATTGATATCATTTGTTTTGATTAAAAATCCAATTGGAAAATAAATTAATCACCTGAAACGCAGCACATCGTCGCCGCTATTTACAGCCGAATCTTCAGTTGATCATCACTCTATACGTAAAATCCCACAGCATGGAATTGCGTAACCTTATGAAAAATGAGTCATATCAGGTCTCATCATGACACACAAGTGTGCGAGATCACCCAGCACACGTCTGTTCTCGACGGTACGACCTGGAACGTCCAATATAACTTGTTACGCTCTCTTTCTCACAAAATTGTGCAAAAATTAAAAAAAACACGGAAAAAATCTCAAGTTGGGCAGATTTCTCTCAAACGCACTCAAGCTTCCTACAAGAATAAGTGTTCTGGGGTCAAATATCCTGGACCTTCAAAGCTTTCTTTTCTTTCAGATATATTCATGCCTCAGCTTCCTATGGAAAGATGGCCATCCCACAAGGCCATTGTATATTCCAATATCTTCATCAGAACAGTACCACGTAACTGATTATTTTTCAATTGAACGACGACGATCATTATCTTGGGAAAAGCAACATACGTACGTCCATCTTTCAAAGTGCATCCCACTTGTTGCGTATAGTTGTTTTTGGGACTCAGCCAATGAGCTTCAACTTGCCCTGGAATGAAACGAACGTGGAATAACGAACAGTATTGGGCGATGAAAGGGAAGTTATATGAAAGCTCACCGGTCCCAATACACTTGCCTCCTACCTCAAAACTAAGCATTTTCACACATACCAAAGAGATTAGAGAATTCAATTTTCTCTGCAGGCTGAGGATCTTCAGCTGTACTCATTCCGATTAAGCACTTGACGGGTGCGGGCATCTTGAGATCCTCCGCGTCCACACGGTTCTCTTGATCGGCAAGATAATTACTCATGCACTGCCTTTCAGGATGCCTGAAGCTGCGCGCCATGACAGACGAAATACTCGAAAACAAAACACAGAGCGACGATATAACAGAAGTGTATTTCCTCATAGGTCACATTTTCAGATGATCTGCCTTGCAATGGAAACGGCCAACACATAGAACTGAACTGTCCAAAAAACAAGGATAATCTCTGAGAATTTCCAGCTCTTTTTTGGATTGTACCACTGATAAAAATGCTTCAAATCCTTCACCACCAAATAGATGTAACCAGCCATCAACGCCAGGAACACTGATATCCTGGGCAGAATGCATCTCAAAGATTGGAGCCACGTGAACTGATTCCTGCTTGGTCTTAAATTTTGCGCGTTATTAATCCTGGTGCCTGATTGGCGTGTTGGACGGGTACTTGCAATTGTTCCCTCATTATTCTGACTTGGTTGTTGCGGTTCTTGCTGCAATTCTTGACCACGTGGCTGGTCTACTGGCCAATTTCCTTGTGTCTCCCGGCCGACTTCATCTTCCAGAAGAATGGCATCTTGATCTTCCATAAAAAGCCGCGGATTGTAAGTGACATTAGGTCAGGTGTATGGACTTCATCATTACTTCCTTCATCGCATTGTCGTTAAAATGAGTAAAGAGGAAACTCTTGTTACAGTTGATTTTTGTGGTTCATTAAAGGTTCCTGATGTACATAAGGGTCTGTTTGTCTTGATGCAAGTCCTGTCTTATTCCTGTTCGTAAGTTAATCCTTTCCATCCTGTAGCATCAGTGCTTAGATATTTCTGCATGTAGCCACGTTTTGGTTCACCAGGAATCACAAAAATGCAGCTGTGGCTGAGTAGATATAGCTGCACGAAGCACCAAAAAATCAATGAAAGAATCAAAGGAAGACTCATTTTTAAAGAAATCCTGTAATGCTAATCCTATGGTACGAGTGTGAGGAGAAAAAGCACCCGGCAGAGAATTATTTTCTAAAAAAAAAAAAGAATTTTTGGAGACAATTTTTCTGAAGAGGTTCAAGTTGAAGAATTTGAACCTTATACTGCATAGTATTTTCAGACAAAAGCACGCATCTTTTCCACAGATAATTTTTTAAATAAATACCGTAGCCTTGCTCAGAAAATTGAAGAAAAAATCCATCCCGTCCTTCTAAAATGGTGTTTCAATGTTCATCAGTAGGAGCGAAAAAATGAAGAAATCTTTTTCACGGTAGCATTTAAACTCACCGAATTCGTCGCCTCATAATGCACCTTTTTGGCGACTTTTCCAGCAGGTTAAGCAATTGAATATACAGATCCCAATTTTCGGGTGTCTCGCAGGTCGCAAAAATACCACTTTCTCAACGATATGTGGAACCCACTATATTTTCTACTTCTTCTTAACAGCACACACAAACACGCACGCGTATATACGAGCCCCGCATTCATAACGGAAGGTAATAATTCCGTGGGTTTTCGATGTCAATCGACCCTGCGGTTAACCACGGCATTATCATTACCCGCGGGTTGCAATATTAGCCCAGTCGTCCCCTTTTGTCACATCGCACAGAAAACCTGGTTTAATTCTCACGTGATGAGGCCCGCAATTTTAGCAGTGTTACGTCGGTCTGTGTGTAAATTGCGGCGGGAACAATGTTGCGTCGCTGTTGGCGGATTCCAGAAAAAAAAGTCCTTCCGTCACGTAATCCAAACATTCCCTGGGTGCATCCATTCTTCCGAATACAGTATCGGGTGAGAGGATTCTACCACCAAGAGAGACAGACAAAAGGGTCAGATCTTGTTACAGTAATCAACTCCTATTATTATTTTTGGGGACCCCTGGCTGCGCATCTCATTAATAGATACGGTTGGTACCTGACAATTTAACCACCCACAATTTGACTCGTCCCGGAATTCGATGGTCGAATTTGCAGGGAGGTTGACTTGCAATTCAACCGTTGTCCGCAATTTGACCCACTTTGGCCATTTTTTTGCATTTTTGCATTGATATATATATTTTTTATTTCATGAAGTGTCTTGCAATTTGACTGCTGTGCAATTCAACCCTAATTTGGCAATGGATTAGGGTCAAATTGCAAGGTACCACCTGTATTGTAATCAACTCATTGAATGCTCAAAATTACAATGACTGCTGTAGCACTCTGGCAAAAAACTGGCAGCTTTTGTATTTGGCCCTTCACAAGCAGAGGCTGGCTATTTTTTTATAATTTAAAGCGTGTGAACCCTGAAAAAAAATAGACTGATCAACATTTTAGCAAAAATCTGAAGTTTATTCCTCTTGGGGCAGAGCATTATTGCTGAAAATAAATCCCTCTCTGGAAGACATTTCTCTGCATTCCTGCCATAGGATGGACATAAAGGATTTTGAAATTTATAAAGGGTTAGTCATCCCCAACTCCTCCCAGAAACATTATTTTCCTTGGCTACTCTGCCCATACTGCATTTTTATAAGATTTGGTCAAGCCAAAAGACTCAAAAATGCAAAAAAGAACATTGATATGTCATGGGATGAAAAAGAACCCCCTGAGTGTACAGTCTACAGGTTAGCCCTTGGATGGGAAAGGGTTCCATTCCATCCAACAGCAAAGATATATTTTTTGCACACAGGCACAGCTGTTTGGCTTGACCAAAAGGTCCCCGAAATTCAGCTTAGGTTGAATAGCCATGCATAGCAAGGAAAATCCAGGAAAAATAAAATTGTATTTTTGTTCAAAAGCTTCTATGAAAATCCTGTGTTACGAATAATGCAGAAAAAATGCCACTCAAAGACGTTTTATTTTATATTTTCATCCAAATTTTTTCTGCAGGTATAGAGAAACATATTAGGACCTTTTGCAATTGAGGCTTCTACTCTCACTCCAGGTTTTCTTAGTTCTGTGCTCTTTCTGTGCAAAAAAGTTTGCAAGAACTTTCAAACACTGCTTTAGAAAGAAATTACATGAGGTACAGAATGTTCATTAAAAAATAGGAAATACTGTACTCATTGGATAAGACCACTAGCATCATTTTCAGAAATTTCTCAACATAATCTCCCCCGCCCCTGAAAATATGAATCTCCCAATTAAAATGGCATGCGTTGATCTATTCTATTTAATCCTACCGCTTTCATAATAGCAGCATTCTATCCAAAATATAAGTACCGTATTTACTTGAGTACCACACACACCTTTTTTCCCAAATTTCAGAAGAAAAAAAGGGGTGCACGTCATAAGCTGGTACAAAATTTTCAAGAAGTTCGAGGAAGTTATGTGTGCATTATACTTACTTATAAGGGAGAAATTTTGAACAAATATAACCAGAAAACATTTTTGGATTGAAAAAGTTGAAAATTGATCACATTTTTGCTCAATTCATGCCTAAAGTCGAATTTGTTGTTTTTATTTTTGAAATTTTATGGTTTTAAATTCAGTAAAAATTGGGGTGTGCGTCTTACTCGGGGATAAGATTTTTGCAAAATTTTCAACTGAAAAACCCCTGTGCGCGCCTTACTTGAGGGCACATGGTACTTGAGTAAATAGGGTACTTTAAAATGAGCGTAAATTTCAAGATACAATATCCAAAAACAGAAGACAGGCATCTCACAGGTATAAAAAAATAATGCACAGTATTGTCCGTACCCCTGGAATACACTCGACTGTTTTATTTTTTGCTGATGTGGTGTGACCCAAAGTTGAAATTTTATGACGTAGTGTAAGAGTGAATAACGTACATGCCTGTATATAACAGCAACGAGTCCCAACCACCCAGCACCCACCCACCAGCACTATGCTCATTTAAATTTTATGAATGCGTGGTTTCCGCGATAAGGAAAATTTGACAGCCCGAATCCGCGATTTTGCATGAAACAAAGCCAGCGGTACTCAGCATAGACAGCATGTATAAAAGACCATCGCCATCATTTTCTTGTCAAAAGCTGGAGACCGCAGAAACCATGAAATGCATTTGGGATGTCCAATGTCTATCGAAACGGCACGAAATGTGCGGCTGTATAGCAACGGTTTTCATCAGGGTGGTCAAACTTTTTTGGGCCTCTTTTTCCAATTTGGCCGTTCATGGGTAAAAAACAGACTTGAATCCATCCCAAAAGATTTTCCTACTGAAGAAGTTCTATGGTGATATTTTTAAACAAGTGATTGAATAAAATTCGTGATCTAGGAATATGTGCATCCGAAAAACTTCACATCATTTCATGGATGGATTTCCTGTAAAAATATTTGAGATACCTTACAAGAATTAACCTTATAATGCCTATTAAAAATTTAACCAACCCCCCATGAAATAAGTCCGTCTTCCAACAACATATTCAAAAGAAATTGATTCTTATTTTGCTGCGATCTTTTATCTGGAAACGATAATTTTCCAAGGAATTTAACTAGATTATTTTTGAAAGAAACGCAGTTATAATGGAGAAAATAGACTCTAAACACTTTTATCCACATATATGCAGTACATCATTTGTCTACTGTTTCAAAAAACCCACATAACAAATGTTCTTATTAAAATGAAAACACTGTAACACCCAACTTCAAAACAATGATACAAAAGGATTCAAAATATATTAAATTAAAAAAAAGTACTGTGCGTAACTTTCATTAGAATTACATTTGAAAAAAGTACATACCTTGATGCTTGAATGTATGAAATTCAGAAGCCATGCATTTATTTATAACAGCTGACTGACTGCAATGGGTTTTTGCTCAACAAAAGGCCCTGAAATTGCATTCTATTTTGTTTACTGGCAAAAAGTGCCGTGCAGAGCAAAATTTTCACATTACATTTTCCAGACAAAAAATGCGCGATGAATTTCAGCAGATCGTCACTCTTCAGCTTTGAATATTTAGCGAAGACCGGGAAAAGATTGTGAAAGAATGCCAGAATCCCTATATGCATAATTTAAGCATTAGAGAATCTTTTAAGAACCTTTTTTTTGTGCCTATCTTGGGAAATTGCTTATAAAATTGCCAAATTCATCCGTATGTGTGGACCAGCTTCTCTTGGCAAAAATTGAAGGTACAGTATTTTGTTCCAGCATCTTTTCATCA